AAAACCGAAGACTCAGGTTTTTACCTCATTCGTATTCAGACGTGTAAGCACAATGGACAAAGAAGTTATGGTGTTGTGGTAGTACCTATCTCAGAAGATTTAATAAAGTTATAACAAATACAGGGCTATTTTTTTTTATAGTTTGGTCCGACAAATGACTCCACCCCACCTGATGATAAGTGAAGGTGAAGTCCAGACGTGAAGATAGCTGATACAGCAGTTTTACCTGCCACACCAGCCATCCTCACCCTGCTGGCCTGCATGTTGCTTCTTCACGCCTCTTTTAAAGGATCCCAGGTTGTAAGAGGGAGGGAACACGTGAGCGGGCAGAGCATTCCATTTACGGATAGTGCGACAAAGAAATGAGTTACCAAATTAATTTTATTACTACTTTTGATGATTTATTGGAACTACTTTTGATGATTTATTGGAACTACTTTTGATGATTTATTGGAACGACTTTCAATAGACGCACCTAAAAGGGTGAGCGAGGCGCGAGCTGGTTGGTTTACACCACTCCAATCCGTCCAATGGCAAACACGCCGCCAAATATACCTAATCCAGCAAGATGTGAATATTATGCATCCACTAGCCTTTCGGGCAGTTTTACCGGGCCGGAAAATCCGCCGCTCCGACATAATGGGAACACGCACTAAGCCGTAAGTACTAGCGAAAAGCCTACTGCGTCCCAGCCGGCCGGTACGAACGAGCGATATCATAAAAACGACAAATCATTGGCGACATCAGCCCTGTTTAAAAACAACGGCGCGCTTGTACACAATCGTGTCGGATCTAATTTAGAGCGCGCGCGGGCTGATGAGCGGCACGATAAGCGGGCAAGCACACGCTGCGTGATTTACTCGGCCCCAGGGACGCGCACTTGCTAAATATTGTACGGTTTTAGATCTTTATTCTCATAAAAAATTACAAAATTCACTTAGGGGAAACCACCCAATCACTGGCACTCGTCCTATTATTAGCACTTTTGAGTTTAATTCGAAAAAACAAGGAGATAACAGATTATTAAAGGTCGTTACATATTAAAAAGAAAAACCTAGTATGGTTCCGAAATTTGAAAATTGGCAACATTATTCCTACAATCTTTTGTTTCCTGGTTTTTTCGAAATAAACTCAAAAGTGTCAATAATAGGAATAGTGCCAATGATTGGGTAATTTCCCCTACCATGAGAACATAAAATATTTTAAATAACAATTTGGTTAAATACGGAGATACATTGAAGTCGGGGGTAGAACTAAAAACTGTGTCATTGCTCATTGACTACGTTCGGCAATGCACAGAACATTGCTGCTCATGCGCTTATTGACTGTGAATAGATAAATTGGAATTGCATAATAATTCTTAAACAAATTAAAGGACAAATAATAAGAAAACTTTTGGTGCGTGTTCTCTATTTTTGAAAATTACTGTTTTTATGTTTATATTTATTTTTAAGCATTTAACTGCTAGATGTTTAAATCTAAAGAAAAGTTTTACTAGAAAAGAATCCACGCGGACCAGGCATTGTGGGTTACCTACAATGCGAAGAGATGGCGCTGCCTTGCAGCTTAAGGCTAGGATTTCGACGCGGCTAATAGGGCCGTGGTAGCATAATGGTCAATGGATTCGCCCGGATTGCGAAGGGTGCGGGTTCGAGTCCCGTCCGCTGCCTGGTCCGCGTGGTTTTTTTCTAGTAAAACTTTTCTTTAGAATTACTGTTTCTTTTTGGTGTCATAATCATTACGATCTTAGAGCTAGATCTTAGTTAGGGTAGGATGTATAAATCATGATTAGGAATTCAAGAGGGTTGCGTACAAATACTATTTTTTCATTTCATATATTTTCGATGTTTTAAGCTCGGTCCTAATAAAATTGCTGCATATCAAATTTTAAACCTATTAGGATGGCATGGGACCCTTAGGGTACGAACCTGCCTCGCACTTGGTCTTTTTTGTATTATCTCTGCCGAATGTTCTGATAGAACACAGTGACGTAAAACCATTCTTGTTCTTGCATCTCAAAGCAATCCAAAAAACATACTTGAATCCAGCCTGTGCTATTACTAAATACGCTTTTGCTTGGGAGCGAGTACACGAAGATGTCACTAGGTGCAGCGCACCTGCGCGACTGATCCGAGCCCTTGTTGATTGTTGATAAACGATTACTCTGCAACTTGACTATATACCGACAGAATCAGATAGCATTACCATAGACTACCTCCTGACAGATGCTATTCTATTTTTGTTTTTTAAAGTTCCACGTATGAATTGCATCTTGCTAGAAAAGCTGGAAGGACATTCTTTGCTCAATTACTTAGAGAGAAGTAAATTATAATTGTGAATTTTCTTAAAATATATTTTGTATTGTAAAATTCTCCCTTTATGGGAAGGCAAAGGCGAACGGTTCCATACAACCTCGTCTTTAGTATTTATACGTTATGCCTTGCCATTTTTTCATTTGAATTTTATGGCGCATTCTAATATGACTGTCTTGATGTATTTGTCACGTAATTTACAGACACGAAACAGCCCTCACGATAAGCTTCTACTGTTTAAAAAAAATGAGAACGAGTAAGTTATTTTACCGTCATTATGGTGTAATTAAAATTAAAACAGTGGTTATATCCGAATACACTTGACCTATCTTATTTATGCGAAACTTGATTGCTATCAGGCTGATAAACAGACACTTGGCCACATTTACATATTACTGGTTTATGTCTGTCTTGCTGTTCATAATGTAGAATGTGACGTTCATAATTCTCACCATTTTGGGTGTTGCAGTGAAAGAACAGTTAAGTGCAGCTGTAATATCATATTTCATTATAAATATAGCTTTGTTATTATGTATTAGTAAAGAAACTAGCTTAGAGATAAAAATGCATTAAAAACATCCTCTCGTCATGAATGTAAATTGGATAATAAATTGAAAATTTAACACAGCATAAATTGAAATAAATACCTATTTTATTGCAAAATTATGTTTGTTAAGATAAATTATTAAGATAAATTGCCAATCTTGTCTTGAACATAAAAATAATCTAGACCACCGGCTGCACCAGGTAAACATAGCCACGAATAACACTTAAATGTCATTTCATTAAGTTTATTTATTAACTAGCGGCCACCCGCGACTTCGTCCGCATAAACTTTGTTTTTTTTTGTAATCCCACAGAAAGCTCACATTTTTCGAGGTTAAAAGTATCCTTTGTCTCATTCCAAGTCATAAACTGTATGTATACCAATTTTCTAAAAATTATTAAATAAAAAAAAAGAAGTTTTTGGCGGGATTTCATTGAGTGCGGTTGGCTTCATATTTTTAATATTCTTTAAATTCGTTCATAGTGGATATTGTGAAATAAAATTGGTGTGATTTTGTGTTACAACCGTCTGCGCAACTGAAGAATTAGTGGAATCTTTAAAATATACGCTATTCCGGTCAAGTGGACGTGAGAATTTTATTGTAATATTGACTACCTTACAGAAGCTTATCGAGAAAGCTGACTCGATACATTTCATGCCAAACACTCCAAGAAACATTAGAATGCGTCACACCCACATGCTAATGTAAAAAAGGAATATTAATACAAAAATAAGACGCTGGCTGCATGGCTTTGCCTTTGCCTTTCCCAATAGGGAACAATGGAACTAAAAAAAGAAATAGAAAAAAACATATTTATTATATTTGTAGGATATTAATATTTTTCTAAACAAGTATAACTGATTTTGTTCACTGACTCGACCTGGCTTCGAACCCAAATCTTCAAGGTCGGCGGGATGTTATCTCCTCGGATATGATCAAGATTAGAATTTAATCAAACGTAAAGTCATAAATTATCATAAAATTATTTTATGTGCGGTGAAGTTGTTTTAATTTACCTACCATAATAGATTAAAAAATATCTATATCTCAGATAGATCTTAGCAATAAATCATAGAAATTATAACAAAACACGTTAATTTGTCGTCGAAAAAGCAAAATCGTTTTTATTATTCTATGCAAGATAGCTTCAGAAATACTAGGTTATAAATTTGCTTTAAATTTAACAATATATCGTAGGATTATTGGTGGACCGAGTTATTTGTTACGAATGAATAACAGCCATTAAAATGTATTAGTATCACTGTCATATTAATATTTAATGGGGAGGCTCGATGCCGACCCAGTACAACTCGGAAAGGCACTCTTCGATACAAATTATACTGTACATTAAGTGACTTTCAATCTTGATATAAAAACATTTAGGTATTCTACAAAGAAAATCTGCCTCTGAATAAAAGGATACCATTTACTTGTCTTCAACTTGCTTTTTTAATTTAATTTTTTAATATGCAAAAATCACATTTAAAAAAAGTTTGTAATTATTGTTCTACTTTTTCTTGACATTAATATATTGATGTAAAAGATTAAGTAAGTAATAGGTTTATTTGATATTATTTGTAAAAGTAACTCAGCATTTTTGGTGAACAGTGATTCGTAAAAAAAAGTTTTATATCATTCAAAATAAAAAACCTTATGAAAAGGGATGTTTGAAGAAAAGAGTCATTTAAAAAAAAACATTTAATCAATCGTACGAAAAGAAATTTGAATTTCATAAATGGAACGGCTGCCTGGCCATCAAGGCTTCGATGAAATAGTTACTAATCGATACATCGTAACTATATTAATCGATACACAAAACGATTTATCGCGAACGGAACCAATAACATGCGCCATGGTCCTCGAAATTAACAAGCAAATGACTGATTGGAAAATGGTAGATATCGGTTACGCTGTATTAATGTTAAATTGGGTTTCTGTGCCGAGTTTACTGTCGGTGGTCGTTACGATAAGAGCAACAATATTGGTGCACGCGCAAATAGTAATAAATTCAAACCACTTTTTTCCTGCGCTATTAAAGTGTCACCTGAACAATGTATCATACTGTGACACTCGCTTGTCTTCACTGAATGTTGGGAATTTTGTTTTTTTTTTTTTATTATCTGCAATTTTTTTTTTTCAGATGAACCAAAAGTGCAAAGTATGCGGGGAGCCGGCAGCCGGTTTCCACTTCGGTGCATTCACTTGCGAAGGATGCAAGGTAAAGAAAAAATATGTTGTTATATTGGAATATATTATTATGATCCACACACATACCATTAATAAACAATCCATATTCACAACAATCCACAACTCGGAATTCCAAAATTGAAATATCTAAAGTAATAACAATTATGTCCGATAAATAAGTACGAAAGAAAAGAAAAAAACCTAAAGTTACGTAAGAGATCTGTAAAAACCATTGGCCTGAAAACTTACGCAACATAAATCTAGTTTCAGAGTAACGAATTTAAAGTCAGCCATTGAAAAACCAGGTGATCGAATTGCATTAATTTTCACATTGCTCTTCTATCATTAGAATTATAAATAAATTGTTACAAAGTTGCAACCACAATAAGTAATAGCAGATAATTATTCTGAAGTGAAACTTCTTTATGCACGCTTGACTTGGGGGATAAGCTGGCGAATGCGTTACGCGTCACGAAAAGTGTCTTCTGGCGTGGCGAACAGGAGTTGAGTGGGGGATATAAGCAGAAGAAAGCAGTGCGCGCGCACATTTTCTTTCTCTTACAGCTAGTAAATGAAATATGTATATGTACATATATGTTTATATTGTACACAAACACACACATCTTAATATATATATATCTCGTGTCACAATGTTTGTCCTCAATGGACTCCTAAACCACTGAACCGATTATAATAAAATTCGCACACCATGTGCAGTTCGATCCAACTTGAGAGATAGGATAGTTTAAATCTCAAATTATAGTCGCAATTTTAATTTATTGCAAATTATTACTTTTGGGCGGTACGAAGTTCGCCGAGTCAGCTAGTATATATATATATTCGCTTCGATATAGCTCCATCTGTATATATATATATATATATATACATACAGATGGAGCTAAACAAGTTTCACTTCAGTCGTGTGGTCATAAGCACACTTGTTTATTTTAGGTACTCGAAAGATGTCACTCACTTATTCCTTATCAAGCCTACGCTATTAAACAGTTAACCTTCCAGCGTAGTCTACATTATTAAGAGTAATAGAGATTGAAAAACTTCAAAGGAGCTTAATACAAGAACCATGGCAGTGTCTGCACTTTCGCTCAACCGTAACGAACGTTCGGAAATTCGGCTATAATGGCAAACGTAGTGTAGGACGTCCTCAGGCACGATGGAGTGACGATTTGCGCAAGGTGGCTGGCAGGAGCTGGATGCGAGTAGCCCAAGATCGATCTGAGTGGCGTGCATTTGGAGAGGCCTATGTCCAGCAGTGGACTATGATAGGCTGTTGATGATGATGATAATGTCATGTTTTGTCTTTACTAATTACCAAATCAACGCAAGTGACTTAGCACATTATTTTCCGCTCGCATTCAAACAACACTCCCTTATAGTTAGGTCTTCATCGATGATTAAGATTTCTCAAGACCCATAGGGTATAGAAATGGGATGGGTAACACGCTCGATGGCGCGGGTGGTTAGCGCGATCGTGGAAGTTAAGCAACTTTCGCAGTGGTCGGTCATTGGATGGGTGACCAAAAATCTTCTATCTCGAGTTCCTCCGTGCTTCGATGGCACGTTAAGCAGTTGGTCCCGGCTGCATCTGCAGTCGTTAGCACCCGCTACAGCACTGGGTCCGCGTGGTGGGTCATGCTCCAATCTCCCTATTCCTACCATAGGGAAGGCCTGTGCCCTAGCAGTGAGGACTTTAATAGGCTGATGATGATGAGGCAACACGCAAGTACCACAACCTTCCATATAGGTTATGGTGGCCGCTTACCATTCAGCGGTCCACATGGACAATATTTTTGTTTCCTATCCTAAAAGAAATATAGTTACCCAATAGGTAGTTAACATAACTGCAATAGCTGCATATCTGTCAGTACTAAACCTAAGTCTGCCCTCAATAGAAGCGCAGATGTCCTAATACTAAGTAAAATATCTAACTAAACTAACCTAGATTCAGGCTCAAAAGAGTCTGAATATTAAAGAAGTTTACTAGAAAAAAATCCTCGCCGACCAGGCAGCGGACGGGACTCGAACCCGCATCATTCGCTATCCGGGCGAATGCACTAACCATTATGCTACCACGGCCCTATTAGCCGCGTCGAAATTTTCCTAGCCTTAAGCTGCAAGGCAGCGCCATCTCTTCGCATTGTAGGTAACCCACAATGTCAAATGAATACTTTTTCAAGTATTAAACATTTGAAAGAAGAAATAGCAATTATAATTGTGTTTTTTTAAGCATTTAACAGCTAGATGTTTCAATCTAAAAAAAAGTTTACTAGAAAAAAAGCAGCTTAAGGCTAGGAAAATTTCGACCTCATTCGCCCGGAGGTCTAGTACCCATTGGACCCTCCTAATTGGACCTTACCTACAAAAAAGTGCCCGTTCGACCTCCTATCAAGAACATGGTGCCCATTGGACCCTCAAACACGTACTTAACGACACAATGAGAGCTATTGGAGCTCTTAACTATTTGGCTAATTCTTTTGGAACGGTAAAGTACAGTCGTGTAGTAAAGTAACATTGTAAAAGACACAAAAACACAAAGGTTATAAATCTTTACTAAATTATTCATACAGTTTTTATAACACTCAGATTAACTATTTAAGCACAATTATTATGTATTCTAAATATTCATAAAATAAAATACCAATGTAATATTTTCATATAACAATTTATAAAAAATGTTTTCTAATCATATTTTTACAATTAACGAGAAATTGCTTATTATAAAAACATACTTTAACTAAAGGATATGGTTCAAAAGTGGTAGTCGGTTTCCGGCAGGGACGAAATTATATAATTTGAAAGTTTGTATAACATGAATAGATACTTTGATTTTTTTATTCATTACCGATTATTTTAAAATCGTGTTTAATAATTAAACAACTTTGTAAGTATGCTGGCCACCCTATCTTAGTAACGTCATATTTTAGTCCGTGGTGGCTTAAAACGCCAACTCAATCACTATGGCAAATGTCAATCAGTCCAGTCATGGATTATTATCAGAATTATTATCACTGCTTTTGTTACACATTGAACATAATATATTTGATGCTTGGCAACAAAAAATAGATAAATAAACTTGCCATTTGCAAATCAATTATTAGATAGATTTATGTTATTTTAATATAAAAAACCGGGATAAAATAAAATTCTAGGTTTTTGTCAAACGATTCACAATTAAGTGCGCTGCATCTCATAAAAACTTGGAGTCTGCCGAAAGACCCACTACCAACTTCCATAAAAAATTTAACAGTCTCCTTTTGTAAAACATTATAAATTACCAAATTAAATATTTAAGACACATATGTGAGTATTTTTTCTAAACAATGGCCTACGGTTGTAAGATTATTTTCTAGCTGCAACATAGTTCATAAATCGGAACGAGACAGCAATATTTCTCTCTCTCTCCCACATATGAGATCGGCGCCATCTTTTTGTTTAAGCGCAGAGATTGCTTGGGCTTGGAATCTATAACCTTCTTTTCATCAGGTGCTTAAGAGGAGTATAACTGCCGATAAAAACACTCAATCTCCCTCAGAATTTCAGTCTTAGATCAAAAGATATGATATCTTTGCAAAATCCACCGTCATGTTGCTTAGATTGTCTAGATCCAAGCTGTTTTAAGGAACTTGGAATCAATCAAACTTTGTTCGATTTGAAAGGTCTTGTGGATTTGGTTTTGCGCTGTAAGGGTATTTATTGGTCAGTGTATGATCGCCCTATTGAGTGAAAACTTTTTACATTAATGATCATTAATGCAATTAAATTTAAAATTAATGTAATTAATGATCATTCCTTTAAACCTAAAGCACAAACATATAAAATGATTTTTAAAGAAAAAAGGTTTTACAATAGAATAGTAGTATACAATAGTTAGTGGCTTTATAATACCTACTATTAATTTTATTTTTGTCTGCAATTTTCTACATAACTGTACTGTGATTAATAAAACTGTTAATTAGGTCGAACTGGCAGTAGGGTATAATCTTGAAGGTCCAATGGGCACTTAAAAAGAGGTCCAATGGGCACATTGAATATAATTTTTTTAAGGAGGTCCAATGGGCACCAAAAAAGAGGTCCAATGGGCACATTGAATATAAGATGTTTTAAGAAGGTCCAATGGACACCAAAAAAGAGGTCCAATGGGCACTTTTTGCTTTTGGGTCGAATCTTGAGGGTCCAATGGGTACTAGACCCGCCCGGATAGCGAAGGATGCGGGTTCGAGTCCCGTCCGCTGCCTGGTCCGCGTGGATTTTTTTCTAGTAAACTTTTCTTTAGATTTAAACATCTAGCAGTTAAATGCTTAAAAAAATAAATAAAATCATAGTCTGAATATTGTCAAATTTTTCCTAATTACAAATCCTGATCTCAATAGAGAATCAGGAAGTCAAATTGTGTTTTGAAAGGCCCGATTTCCTATAAGAAATTGTGTATGAAAAAACCTAATATTAATTTTCCTAATCTCTGTATAATAAGCTCTATGTAGAGTCTATTTGCACTCTACCTGATTTAGAGGATTTGTACCTTTGCATTAAAGCAAGTTAACCAATCGCCAATTCTTGGCTCGAGGTCCCCTTAGAATCTCGCCGTCCCCAAACCCGGTGACGCTGTAAAGCCATCTGCAACCAACAGCATACACACTCATCAAAAAAAAGTGAACTAATCAAATAATTCCAAACAGCGCGTCGAAAAAACTGTTGAGTTCAAATCACAGTACAATTAAAAAAAATGAAATACAGGTACAATTTTAACTGTAACCTGTAGTTCAGGCATCCATTATTCTGTACTTCATATTTGACGACCTCCGTGGCCGAGTGGTTTTGAACGCCGGGTTTCATGGTGTCGCTGACTCGAGAGGTCCCAGGTTCGAATCCCGTTGGGGGCAGATGTTTGTGTGATGAATACGAGCATTTGTACTCCAGTCATGGATGTTTAACATGTTTTTCTATATAAATATACTTATATATGTACAGTATATGTATTCTATCCGTTACCCTAGTATCCCATAACACAAGCCT